GTGCCAAACACGACGCCAAATTAACCTAATCAATTCTGTCTTCCAATGGCCCATGTTCCTTAATTCCTTAAATATTTATGAGCTCGTCTGAAATTTTCCTAAACGCCCTTGTTGTATCTGCCTCCACCAACACATCTGGTAGCCTGTTCCCAACTCGTGCTCACTAGAATTAAATATTTCAACTCTGGAAGAAAATTATTCTGACCATCAAACTCATCTTTGTGTCTCCTAATTTTATGGGCTTATATCAAGTCTTCCCTCAGCCTCCGCCACTCCAGAGAATCAACGCGATTTTTTCATGTCTGTCCTTATAGCTCGTACCCTCTAAACCAGGCAGCATCCTGCTAAAATTTTTTAGCACCATCTCAAAAATATCCACATCATTCCTGTAATGTGGCTTCCGGAATTGAATGCAGTACTCTAAGTGTGGCCGAAACAAGGTCTTACAAAGCTGCAACATGAGAACTTGACTCTCGTACTCAACCCATGATCACTAAAGGCAAGCATGTCATACGCCTTCTTTACCATCCTAGCTGCTGCTTGTGTGGCTACTTTCAGGGAGCCATGGACTTGAACCCCAAGATCCGTCTGTACATCAGTGATATTCAGGTCCATTAACTGCATACTTTTACTTAACATTTGATCTCCCAAAATGCAGCACCTCACCCTTACCCGGATAAATCTCCATCTGCCATTTCTCCACCCAGATCTGCAAATGCTCCACAGTCTGCTGTATCTTTTGACAATCTTCTGAATGAACCACAACTCCAAAGATCTTTGTATCGTCTGCAAACTTATTAACTCACCCATCTAAATTTTCAACCAAGTCACTTATATACAACACAAACAGCACAGGCCCTAGTGCAGATCCATGCAGCACACGTTTAGCCATGGAGCACCTGCCAAAAAAGACACCCTTCCACCACTACCCTCTGTCTTCTATTGGCAAGCCAATACAGTATCCAAGCGGCCAAGTCACCATGGATCCCAATCATCTTAATCTTCTGAATGATTATACCACGAGGGACGTATTCAAAAACCTCACTAAAAGCTATGTAGACAACATAGACAAGTTTACATCGATCACCTTCATCACCTCCTCGAAAAATTCATTCAAGTCAATAAGGCATGACCTGACCCGCACAAAGTCATGCTGACTGTTGCTAATTAGGCCATTCTTTTCCAAATGCGCATAAATGATATTGTGAAGAATTCTCTCCAATAGCTTCCCATACAAAGATGTGAGGCTCGCCAATCTATAGCTTTTTTTGTTATCTCTATTTCCCTTCATAAACAGAAGAACAACATTGGCTACTCATTAGTCCTCCAGGACTTTTCCAATGGCTAGCGACTATACAAAGATCTTGGTCTGTGAAGTGCATGAGGGAGTTATTGTGTTTGGATAACCCCAAAGTCATATAAGCATGTTCTTTCATCATTCTGAAAAGTTTGATTCGTGTCTGCCTTTAATATTTACTTTTGGGTAGATCGAAGTTGTCCACATCAGAGCAGAATGTAACATTTGTTCCTTGACAACTGGCTCCAATCTTACTTCATTTTGAGCTTGAAACAGGCTGTTCCTATTCTTTATATTTGTATTACAGGCTGAAAAATCGAAACAGAGAAAATAGGAGCAAGAGTAGGCCAATCAGTTCTTCCAGCTTGCTCCAGCAGTCAGAATGATCATGGTTGATAATGCAACTCAGTCCTCTGTTCTCACTTTCTCCTCATACCCTTTGTCCCCTTCGGTCCTAAGAACTTTATGTAACTCCATCATGAAAACATTCAGTCTTTTTGTCTTAAACTCTTTCTGTGGCAGACAATTCCACAGGCTCACCACTCTCTGGATGGAGGCTTTTTCTCAATATTAGTCCTACTCTTTATCCTTAGAGTCTGACAGCCAGGACTCCCCGATTATTGGGAACATCCTTCCTGCGTTTACCTGTCTAGTCATTTTCGAATTCCACCCCCCAACCCAACTTTATTAACTCTAGTGAATATAGTCGCACCATCTCAGCAATTAGTCTCATATCGTCTCATATTCATTAATCTCATATCCTCTCCAATATGAGCTCGAAATTGTCACAGTCTTCTTTGGTTCAAAAACCAAATGAAACAACATCTGCACATTTGCAAACTCAAACTCAACTCTTTAGAATCTCAGTTGACCACACTTCAGTCACAAAGATGCATGAGCAAAACTCATCGAACAAATGGTCACCCCCCAGCTGATTAATGTTGTGTTCACTTGTCAACATTCATTCCCTCTGTGACTGTACCTCAATGTGAAGATCCTCTTTATTATTTGTGCATCTTTACAAATCCCCAATGCCAATCTCCTGCCCATTTTCAACATTCCTGTGCCTTTTGTCAAAATCGTTGTTTCTCTAAACATTATTTTTATTATTAGTTCTCTTCAAGATTTGCCCCACTTGGGGTATGCGCTGGTAAGGTGGTAATGACACAATTAGAACGATCTAGAATCCGAGCACAGGTTGGACATGAAATGACATGAAACTCACAATGACCATAAGAACGAGGAGCAGGAGTAGGCCATTTAGCTTTTGAGGCTGTTTCGCCATTAAACACCATCGTGGCTGACTTCATCTCGGTCACAATTCCACTTTTCTTCCCGTTCCCTTTTGCCAATCTCTCCATAAATATATGTCCACCTCCTCCTTAAATTCGGTCAGGATCCCGGTGTCCACCATACTCTGTGGTAGAGAATTCTACAGAATTCCCGTTAGGGGAAGCAATTCCTCCTCATCTCTCTTTTAAATTTATTTGCCTTGAGCCTAAAACCATGACATCTTGTTCTAGCCAGCTCCACAAGGGGAAACTTCCTCTCTAAACTACTATATCAATCTGTTTTAGCATCTTCTAGACATCAGTTAGAACTGCTGTCATCCTTCTTAACTCCAGACAGTATAGGCCTGAACAACTCAAAGCTCCTCATGCGACAAGCCCTCATCTCTGGAATTAATTGAATGAACCTCCTCTGAACTTCCTCGAATGCAATCACAATCATCCTTCAGTTTTGGGAGAAAAAACTAGACACGATACTCCAGTTGTTGCCTCACTAATGCCTTGTACAGAGAAAGCAACACTTCCCTATATTAATAGACCATTATTTCAGCAAAAACAAATACCAGAAATTACATTCTCACACTGCATGACCTTCTGTATCTGTGCACAAGTGTTCTGCAATTCATGATATCATGTTAGGTAGTGATATTTGATTTCGATAAAGACATGTAAATAAAGACTAGACTCATGGTCACCCTTTAATTATTGTCAACTATCACAAAATAACCCATCTTGTGCCCCACTGATGTACCTCAAGAACAGAAATGTTGTCCTCTTAACCTCACCTGCATCCTTAGGGAAGCGATTGAAATGATGGTCCCTATTGTTAATAACCCATGAGACATACAACCCATCATTAAATGGTTAACAACCTTTATTTTAACTTCTTTACTTTTCTTTAATTCACGGGTGGGACATTGGTGCGCCTGGCTAAACCAACATTTATTGCCTGTCCCTATTTGGCCCTTTTAGAAGGTGGTGGTTAGATGTTTTCTTGAAGCTCTGCAATCCGTGTTCTGTCGTCAGATCTGAAATGCCCTGAGGGAGGGAATTCCAGGATTTAGATCCAGCGACAGTGAAGGAAAGGCGATACACTTCCAAGTCAGATTGATGAGTGGCTTCGACAGAAACTTGGAAAGAGCTGTGTTCCCATCTATCTGCTCCCCTTGTCCTTCTCAATGATCATTATCCTGGGTTTGGTAGGTGTTCTATTGTTACAGCCTTGGTGAATATCTGCAATACATCATGTAGACAATTCTCACTGCTGCCGTTGAACCTGAATGTTGAGGGGGTGCGGGGAAATGTTAGTGGATGTGGTTACAATCAAGCAGGCTGCTTTATCCTGAATGATATCAAGGTTCTCGAGTGTTTTGGACTTCCACCCCTTCAGGCAAGTGGAAAGTCTTCCATCGCACTCCTGACTTGTACCTTGTAAGACGGTGGACAGGATTTGGGAAGGAGTCAGGAAAGGAGGTATTGTCTGCAAGATTCCCCGTCCCTGACCTGCTGTGGAATCTTTCACAACACAGGACTGCTGAGGCAGTGCCATTAAATGTACTTCAGGCTGATATCTTGGAATCAAGTGTTAAGGAGAAAAGGCAGAAAAATCGTGCTGAGGGTGATCAGATCAGCCACGATTTCACTGACAGTAAAAAAAAATGGGGAAGCAAGTGTTGACGATGACAAAGACACGTTCAGAGGGTGGGACAACAGCTGATAGATGAAATATAATGTGGGGAAATGTGACATATTGCACTTTTGGGAAGTGGAATAAAGGAGCTATATATTACTTAAATGGAGAGATTGATAGGCTGAATGCCTCTACTTGGTACCAACTTTATTGAAGACTTTCCACTTTAAAATGCTGCTCATCCAATCATATCCTGTTGCCAAATTCGATTCTATTGTTCCCCTGTGAACAACAGTTACTCCTTTGTACATGAACACTGGGTGATACCACAAAAGACAATTTGCCTCTTAAAATGCAATTGTTATGTATCAATATGTTTGCTCTGTGTCGAAACATAACACAACTCAGTAAGTCCTCGATTGAACTGATATTATTACCACTACCTGTATGTAATGTTACCGTCCTTATTTCCCTTCCTCGCAGTTAACCTTCTCACAATTAGGATTCTGTCTCGCAGAAGATGTGGTCTCTCTAATTGCATGACATGTTATCTGATGGCCATGGCAGTTTCAGATCTACTGGTCATTATCTTCGATCTGACTTTGAGACAGTTGCCAACACTTTATCGAAGAACGTTCTCCTCTCTGTTGGAATTTCCCGTATGCAACATTCATGCTGTCCTGCTTTATGCAGTCACTGACTGCTCTGCCTGGTTCACCGTCGCGTTCACCTTTGATCGATTTGTGGCCATTTGTTGCCAAAAGCTGAAAAGTAAATATTGCAGTGAGAAAACGGTGGCCGTGGTCCTGGGGACAGTGACTACAGTGAGCAGCTTGAAGAAAATTTTCTGGTACTTTGCATTAACGAGCGAGTATCAGCAAATGAACTTCCCCTGGTTTCGTGCTGCATTGGACAATGTTCGGTCGTCTCCGGTCTGGGTAACAGTTCAGTTCCTCCACAACATACTAACTCCATGTGTTCCAATTCTATTGATTTTACTCCTCAACATCTTCACAGTCAGACACATTTTAGTGAGCAGCAAATCCCGCAGGCAACTCCGTGCTTCCAGCAGTAAGGAAACTCACAAAGACGCAGAGATGGAGAGTCGATGGAAATCCATAATTTTATTGCTGGGTATTTCCGCCAATTTTATCTTGTTATGATCAACATTAATGATTTATTCTCTCTGGATGCGGATGTACAATTTAGGTTTAAAATCTGTGTGGATCGACAGTTATGTGCAGGAATTGGGTTTTATGTTGCAGCTCCTGAGTTGCTGCACTAATACTTGTGTCTACGTCGTGACACAGAGTAAATTCAGAGAATAGCTGAAGAATATGCTTAAATGCCCTTTCACCATAATTCTTCAATGCCTGCAATGAGGAGAGAAAAATTCTGAGAGAGGTGCCAGTCTTAAGCAACGGTTCTTGATAACTGTGTATTCACCTAAAATACTTTAACATCCTTTAAGAACCTTTAAGAGCGCTTTATAGGTATTCAACCATCACAAGGCTTCGGATCATTCATTGCACAACACCATAAGGCCATTGTAAGGCTATTCAGCCTTAGGAATCTGTTCCACCATTTGATATGAATAAACCTGATTTCATCTCGGTCTGAGCTCCACTTCCTTCCCCGCTGTCCACAACGCTTTAGTCCATTACAGATTAAGAGTCTATCCATGCACAAAATCAATTTACTCAATGTTGCCTCATTTCACCACACTCCAGAACAGTGAAGTCATTGACAACACATTGAGACAATTAATTCCGCCTCATCTTTTCTAAATCTACTGTCCCTTGTCCTAAAAGTACGACCTATTATTCTAGATTGACCGTACATAGGAAACGACGACTGCACATCTACTTTGTCAATCATATTTAGCAGCTTATCCTCCTCAATTAGATCGTAGAATCCCTACAGTACAGAAAAATGCCCTTTGGCCCAACAAGTCCACACTGACCCTCCGAAGACCATCCCACCCAGAACCATTTCCTTACCCTTTAATTCCCTTGGCTACACATCCCTGAACACGATGGGCAATTTAGCATGGCCAATCCACCTAGTCTGCACATCTTTGGGCTGTGGGAGGAAACTGGAGCTCCCAGAAGAAACGGGGACAATGTGGAAACTCCACACAGATATTCGCCCGAAGGTGAAATCGAACCCGGGTCCCTGGCGCAGTGAGCCATCATAACTCCACAGAGTACAGGTCTGAACTTCCTCCAATGCAGTAGCATGCTTTCTCAAATAAGACGATCAAAACTGTATACAGTACTCCAGATGCAGCCTCACTAGTACCTGGTACAGTTGCAGCAACATTGTCCTGTTTTTACATTCCAGCCCTTGAAAAATAAATCCCAACATTCTATTTGCCATTCTTATTCCTATCTTTTCCTGCATTCGAACTGTCTGCTGTCATTATGCCTTGTAATTCATTTAATTCACAAGAGGAAAGTAGGGCGTGTCATTTGAAACAAAAGAATAAAGAGCTTTTTCTTCGAATGAGACATCAAGGTCTCCGATTTTCAACTCTCAGTAACGCCGACAATTTCTAAATAATGTTTGATGAAAGACGGCTGTGGTGAACTTCCGGCTTTTTTTCTCCCATCACACTTGACCCCTGGGTCAATCTAAAGTCTATCTCTCTCGGACTTGAAGATACTGATTGACTCAGACTCCAGTTCTGTCCTTTTGAGGTGGGGTAGGAGAGGTGGGGAATGGGTTTGTGAGGGTGGCGTGGAGGGAAGATTTCAAAACACTCATGATCCCCAGGAGACGAGATATCGCCCCATTTTAATCTCAAGTTGCATTTCGAGCCTATGAATCGTTTTAGCCACTCGAATGTCTTGCCACCTAGGGCTCATCTATCTTTCAATCAGATCATGTCTGAATCTCTTGAGCTGCATTGACCCAGTTATGTCCAACCTTCGCTCATCAGGCAACCCCTACTCATCGGCAAATTAAAAGGGGTTTCTTCCTTTTGCAATGACCTCACCCAAATCTCAATTGCGTCTGCACTTATAGATAATCGTGAAATCGGCCGACTCAGAGTGTTATGACATACCTTTCGGAGCTGGTGAGACTTGAACCTGGGTTTCCTCGTCATGACATCGAAGCACTACCACTGCACTACAAGGCCTCCTCGGAGATGCAAGAAACGAGAGATGTCAGCAATGTAGAGGTGAAGTTGTAAGGATTTTGAATCAAACTCTTCGGATGTGTTGTGCAACATTTCCAGCACATATGCAAATTGCACCCAGGTGTTCTGCTTTGGAGACAGGAACACCACAACTGCGCCACAATCATTCGACTACCGCGCCTGTATGTTGACATTTGATGAATCGTGATCTACAAAGTTTATAAAATCATGAGGGCTGTAGATAGTGTGAATGATAGTTATCTTTTTTCCTAGGATCGGGAATTTCAAGACTTGGGGGTGTGCATATTTAAGACGAGACGAGAGAGATTTAAAAAAGATATGAGGAGCATTTTTTTAAACAGAGGATGTTTCTCGTGTGGAATGAACTTCCTGAAAAAGTGCTGTATGTCCGCACAATTACAGCGTTTACAAGACATTTGGATAAGAACATGCAAAGGAAAGGTTTAGAGGGATATGAAGGAGGCAGGTGGGATTACTAGAGCTTCAAATTATGTTCGGTGTGGACTGGTTGGACTGAAGGGTCTGTTTCTATGCTGTATGACTTTATTACTCTCGTGTCCCTCTGTACTGTAGCATTCTGCAGTTTTCCAATTAAATTATCCTGGTTGCCCCACTGTGTATGTCTGGTTGCAGCTCCACTCAGACCGCATGGATCAGTTAGAGGAGAAGTTGGAAGCGCTGAGGAGCATACAGGCGGCAGAGAGTGTGATAGATCGTAGCTTCAGTGAGGTGGTCACATCGCAGGTACAGTCAGGTAGATGGATGACTGCCAGCAGGTGGAATCTCCTGTTACTAAATCCCTGCTAAACAATTTCCAGTTTTGGATATAGGTTGGGGTTGGGGGCGGTGATAGCCTCTCAGGAGAAAATAGCCATGTATTTGGCACCATGACTGGATGTGCTGTAGAGCTGGATATGGAAAATCCAAAGCGAGCAATTGTGACAGTGGACTCTCAATCTGGGGCACAGAGAAGTGTTTCTGCAGCCGCAAACAAGGCTTCAGAATGATGTGTTGCAAACATCACCACCGCACCACCTCCACCCCTCCCCCCACCACCCCCCACCCCCCACCCCCGCCCAGTGCCAGGGCCAAGAACGTATCGGAGCATTGCACCATATTCTCAAGGGTTAGCGTGAGCTGCCAGAGGGCGTTGTACATGTTAATACCAACTACATAGGTGAAAAAAGGGATGAGGACCTGCAGAGTTAGGCAGGAGATGAGAAAGCAGGACCTCAAGGATATAATCTCTGGATTGCTCCCGCTGCCATGTGCTGCTGAGAATAGAAACAGGCGGATAGGGTATATAAATGTGTGGCACAGGAGCCGGTGCAAGGAGCAGGAATTCAGATTTGTTCGACCATTCGGATCTATTCTGGGGCAGAAATGACCTGTACAAAAAGGACAGGTAGCACCGCACTGAAGGGGGGCCAATATTTTGTTGGCAAGATTCGTTAGAATCGAGCAACTGGGGAGAGGGGAAACTGATCTAGCAGGAGGATGGGACCCAAAGCTGTCGTGAGGCAAGAAAGAAGGTTGACGATGGTACAGCTGTTAAGAGAGAAATTTAAGTAAATAAGGCAGGCAATAACGTGGCAGGGAACGAGTGAAGACTTCTAATTAAGATGCTTTTATTTTGATGCAACAGACTTGACAGGTAAGGCAGGTGAACTCAGGGCATGGATGCGAACACAGGACCTAGAGGTCATAGCTATTACAGAAATACGGCTAAGTGAGGGACTGGACTGGCAGCTAAATGTTCCGGGTGACAGATGCTATAGGAAGAATAGAAGGGGAGGCAAGAAAGGAGGTGGAGTCGAGTTTTTGATCATGGAAAACATCACAGCTTTTCTTAGAGAAGATATTCCTGGGGGATTCATCCAATGAGCTATATGGGTGTAACTGAGAAGTAAGATTGGGGTGATCAAATTGATTGGATTGTAGTATAGTCCCCTGAATGGTTAGCGGGGAATTGTGGAGCAACTATGTACGGAGACCAAAGGTAGCTGTAAGAAAAACAGGATTGTAAAAGTAAGAGATTTTAATTTTCCAATGGAGTCTGCCATTTGTTAAGATCTTGGACGGAGGAATTTGTTAAGGGTGTATATGAAAATTTTCTCAATCAATATGCAGATGACCCTAGAAGAGAAGGACCAAACTCGACCTCTTTTTTGGGAAATAAGGCAAGGCGATTGGCAGAGGTGTCTTTGGGGGAGCACTTTGGGACCAGTGACCATATTTTTATTAGTTTTCAAATAGTTATGGAAAAGGATAGGTCTGGTTCACAAATTAAACTTCTAAATTGGGGCAAGATCTTTTTTAATAGTATGAGACAGAAAAGTTCAAATGTTGATTGGACGGGTCTGTTTGCAGGTAAAGCAATGTCTGGCAACTAAGAGGCTTTCAAAAGTGACGTAACGAGAGTTCAGGGGCAACATGTTCCTGTCGGTGTGAAGGGTAAGGCTAGTAGGAAAAAGAAACACTGGTTGACTAGAGATATAGAGACGCTGGTCAAGAAACAGAAGGACGCATATGTCAGTATAGTCTGCTGGAATCAAGTGAATCCCTCTAGATTAGGGGGTGTAGGAGTACACTTCAGAAAGAAATCAGCAAGGTAAAAAGAAGACTTGAGATGGCTTTGGTAGATAAGGTTCAGGAGAATCCAAAGACAATCTACAATTATCATAAGGGCAAAGCAATAACTCGAGAGTGAATATGGACCCTTGAAGAACAATGAGATCGTCTATATGTGAAACTATAGGCGATGGGTTAGATCCTAAATGAATATTTCACATCAATATTTTCTGGGGAGATGGAAGCTAGGGAACCCGGGCAAGTGGATTTTGATGCCTTGAAAAGAGTCAACATTACAGAAGTGGAAATCCCCATCACCTGAACAATTGTGTCCCAGGACTTTGTGAGAAGCTGGAAAGAAATTGTGCGATCCCTAACACAGATATTTGTGTCATCGAAAGCCACAGGTGAGGTGCCAGAAGACTGGAGGGTGACTAATGTTGTGCGATTATTTGAGAAAGGCGACAAGGAAAAGCCAGGCAACTACAGGTTGGTAGGCCTAATATCAGTGGTAGGGAATTCTGAGAGACAATATTTTTACACATTTCGAAAGTCGTGGACTGATTAGGGATAATAAGTATGGCATTGTGCATTGGAAATCGTGTCTCACAAGCTGTAAGTTATTTTAAAGAGGTGGCCAAGAAGATATATGAGGGCAGAGTGGCAGACATTGTCTACTTGGACATGAGTAAGACATTCAACAAGGTTCCACATAGTAGGCTGATAAGTAAAGGCAGATCACATGGATGGATTGCAGGTAGTGATAATCAACTGGATAAAAATTTGGATGACAGTAGGAGACAGTGGGTGATGATAGAGGGATGTTGTTCAGACTGGAGGCTTGTGAGCAGCGGCGAGCGACAAGGATGAGTGCTAGGTCCACTCCTGTTCATCATTTATATAAACAATTTGGATGAAAATTTAGGAGGCATCCTTAGTAGGTTTGCGGTTGTCAGCAAAGTTAATGATATAGTGGACAGTGATGAAGATATCTAAGTTTTCAACGGGATTTTGATCAACTGGCCCAGTGGGCCGAGGAATGGCAGATGAAGTTTAGATAAATGTGAGGTGTTGTATTTCGTAAAGACAAACCAGAGGAGGACTTACACAGTTAATGCTAGGGACCTGGGGAGTGTTATTGTACAGAGAGATCGAGGGATGCGAGTACACAGCTCCCTGAAAGTAGAGTTGCACGAAGACAAGGTGGCAAAGAAGGTGCTTAGCATAATTGTCTTTATCGGTCAGGGCTTTGAGTATAGGAGTTGGGACGTTATGTCAATGCTTTGTGGAACGTTGGTGAAGCCACTTGTGGCGTGCTGCATGTAATTCTGATCACCCTGGTACAACAAGAATGGTATTAAACTGGAAAGGGTGCAAAAATGATTTACAAGGATTAAACTGAGACTAGAGTGTTTGAGTTATGAGACGTTGGATAGGCTGGGACATTTTTATCCCTGGAGTTGGGGAGGCTGATGGTTGACCTTATAGAGTCTTATAATATCATTAGGGGCATAGATAAGGTGAACAGTCAAGGTTGTTTCCGCAAGTCCAAAGCTAGAGTGCGTTCATTTAAAGTGAGAAGGGAAGGATTTAAAAGAGACCTCAGGGGCATTTTTTATTTTTTTTTCACACAGAGTGTGGTGCGTATATGTAAAGATCTGCCAGACGAAGTGGTAGAGGCGGGTGCAATTACATTAGAAGACATTTTATCAGACACATGGTCAGGAAATGTTTGGAGGGATGTAGACCAAATGCAGGAAGATGGAACCAGTTCAGTTCAGGAGACCTAGTCGGCATGGATGAATCATAGAATCCCGACAGTGTGGAAACAGTCCATTCGGCCCAACAAGTCCACACCGACCCTCAGAGCATCCCACCTAATCTATACATCCTTGAACGATATGGGCAAGTTAGTACGACCAATCCACCTAGCTTGCACATGTTTTGACTGTGGGAGGAAACCGGAGCACCCTAAGGAAACCTACGCAGACATGGTGAGAATGTGCAAACTCCACATAGGCAGTTGCCCGAGGGTGGAATCGAACCCAGGCCCCTGGCGCTGTGAGGCAGCAGTGCTAACCACTGAGCCACCGTGTTGGACTGAGGGGTCTGTTTTAGTGCTGTATGACTCTATGACTGTAATTTCAGGCGGTAAAATCTTGACCTCATTTTGTTTCCATTTCTTTGCTCCGTTCAGTTTGATTTATTTCAATCAGAAATACACCTGCTACAGGCACACCTTTGTTTCTCTGTTTCTCTTCTTGCCAAACACCATTCCCTTTAACCGTGGAGTACACACTCTTCTGTCATTCAATCTCTCCTGTATTCCACCCCCTGTCACTGACCTTCCTTTTGACCTTAACGAACCTCATCACTTGCTCAAAACCTGTCACAACGCTAACTTGTCCTGATGAAAAGTCATCTATTCGAATCTCTGTTTCTCTTTCTATACAGATGCTACTTGATTCGGTATATTTTATGACAAAATATTTTATTTTTATTTTAGATCTTTCTGCAGAATATACTGCACATGGACAACTGGTTATTAACAATAGTTTTAGAAAGCGGGCAAATGAAACTGAGCGAGATAATTGTTTCTTCTCCTTCCAGTTATTAGCCAAAACCTTACAACGAAAACATGCACTTGAAAAAATTCGAAAAAATGTTGGTAACGTGACAACTCGCTATCTGTTTTCCTCGAAGTGGTTAGACTGCCCCACAGGAGCACAATGTTCAGGAAATAAAGACAGCCCTTTGGAGTGCAAAATCATTGTTTAATATGACTTCCCTCTTTATCTGCAACATCTATTTTCGAGAATAAAGCAGAATAGACTTCATTGAATAGATTTTGAATCTTCCCAGTTTCTCAGCTGCTTAATGCATTGTGTTACTGATTGGTACATATCAGATACTCTCAGGGGACACTGCCTGTCAGTAATCATAGTAATCAGCTCTGTACAAATTCAGGACTTCCTTAATCTAAACAATACCTTGAACATCCTTGCAGTGAACTCACTGAGAACTGAATCTTTGTGGTCACCAAGATATTGCTATTTGATGATATTTTGTAATTTACTATGATTCTTATCAGCAAAATCAGAATTAGACCATTTGGCCTATTAGTTTGGTGTGGAGGACACAGTGACCTTGTACAGAGACTGACTCGCCTTTTG